TCTTGTGTAGCTGTTTGGCCTCCGTGCCATTTGAATTATTTTTTTTTAGCCTGCGTGTCGTGGTTAGTAGTTGACTTTTCCTGGCTTCTGTGCCAGAGGCTTTAACTTGTAATTTTTGAACATGGGTTTACCCGACATAATGCATTGTGTTTTGTCTTTTGGTATGTTTATATTTTATGTGTGCTGGTTGTATGTCAAATACATGTTTTATATTTACGTTTTCTTGTTTGATTATTTAGGGCCTTTGCTCGAGATTATTGGTCCTCGACAGTGTAGGGAACTGGCTAAGTGGTCAGAGTCGAACTCCGACCTTTGACGAAGCTAAGAGCTTGATCGAGGTCTTTGCTCTGAGGCATGAACTTCCCATTGTGAGTTGGGCATTCTGCCTAGTTGGTACGACAATGGTGGAGGTCAGTGGAGGTGTCCCCGTCGGATCAAGAGTTCGCTCGTACACACAAGAGTGGACCCTTATCTTCTTGTCCCGAGTTTAGTCGCGCTTGTACCTTAGTGCACCCCTGTGGTCGTGACGCGAATAGGTTGCTGGCAGTGTTTAACTGTAGTACTGTTTAAGCTTTTCAGCGTTTGATGGTTGAGCAAGTTTCTCCCCGTGCAGGTTTTCGAGGTAGTAGGCTCCGGTCCCTATTTTCGCACGGACATGATAAGGGCCCTCCCAGTTTACGGCGAGTTTGCCTTAGTGCGAATCTTTCTCGTTCCTTCGTAGGAGTAGGGTGCCCACTTGAAATTTGCGCTTGATGACTTTGCTGTCATGTCGCAAAGTTATCTTCTGTTTGAGTGAGGCTTCACAGAGGGATAACTCAGTCCTTCTTGAGAGTTCCCTTATTTATACTGAAATCACTGCCTCAGTTCTGTAGGTCAGTCAGAATGGGGTCTCCCCTGCGGTCGAGTGTAGGGTCGTTCTGTAGGGCCAGAGCAGATTGTGCAACTCCTCGATCCACATTTTCTTGGCGTCGTCCAATCTTCATTTCAACTGTCATAGGATCACTATGCTCGTGGGTTCGGCTAGCCCGTTCGTCTGCTGGTGCTCGACCGATGTGAAGTGTTGCTTCGTGCCCAACTTGGTAACGAAGTGCTGGAAGTTCTTGTCGGTGAATTATGTCCCGTTGTCGGTGACGATTGTTTGGGGTATGCCAAACCGGACAAGTATATTCCTTTTGTAGAAACGAAGTATGTTGTGGGTCTTGATTTTGGCTAAGGCTTTGGCCTCTATCCACTTAGTCAAGTAGTCGATGCCGACTGTCAAATACTTGTTTTGGTATGACCCTATAGTGAAGGGCTCGAGGGTGTTCATCCCTCACCAGGAAAATGGCCATATGGATAAGTGCGTTTTGAGCTCATTGAGCGGGGCCAGGTGCATGCCCTCATGTCGCTGGCATTTGTCGCACTTCTTGACGTGCTCTTTGGTGTCTTGCTGAATGGTGGGCCAGTAGTACCCCGCCCGCAATGCTTTATGGGCTAGGGACCATCCGCCGAGGTGCTGCTTGTTGATCCCTTTGTGGATCTCTTAGAATATGCTTGGGACCTTAGACTCCTCGACACATTTAAGGACTGGGATGGAGAAACCCCGCCGATATAACTTGGCTTCGACAATGGCATACGAGCAGGCACGTCGCCTGATTACGCTAGCCTCCTTGGGGTCGTTGGGAAGTTTCCCCTTGCTGAGGTATTCGTATGTCGGGGTCATCCCGCAGTGGTCATCACCGATGGCGTTTACATCGACGACCGAGGTGGGTTTCTCGATACTTGGTTATGGAAGCACTTCTTGGATGAAGGATTTGTTCCCGCCTTTTTTTCGTGCTCGCCAACTTAGATAAGATGTCTTCCCGGGTATTGTGTTCGCGCAGGACAATACTTACTTTCGTCGAGACAAATTTTTTCATCTTCTCTTTTACTAGGGCCATGTACTCTATGAGGATGTCGTTCTTGGACTAATACTCTCTCTGTACCTAGGAGGTTATGAGTTGGGAGTCGGTAAATTTTTTTACCTCTTTCGCGTCGAGGTCCGGTGAGGAAGACCTCGTACTCGGCCTGGTTGTTCGATGTCGGAAAGGATAATATGAGAGATACCTCGATCGAAATGCCTTCCTTGTTTTCTACGGTGATGCTTTCTCTGCTTCCTGTCGAAATGGATACCCCGTCGACGTAGATCGTCCACTTCTGGGATCCTTCGACCGAGGGTTCTGGGATGGTCATCTCTGCAAAGAAGTCGGCTAGTACTTGAGCCTTCATGGAATTCCTACCCTCGTATTGGACGTCGAACTCGGAGAGCTCGAGTGATCATTTGGGCAACTTTCCCGCCATGTCTGGCCGACCGAGGAGCTGCCTCACGGGTTGATGCGTCTTTACCATGATCGTGTGGGCCAAGAAGTAGTGTCACAGCCTCTTGGCCGCAGTGACGAGGGCCAGGGCAGCCTTTTTTATCTGCTGGTAACTAAGCTTGAAGCCTTAGTGGGATTTACTAGTGAAGTATATCGGCTTCTATACTTTAGGGGTTTCCCTAATAAGAGTCGTCATGACCGCCTCGGTCATGACGACGAGGTACAAGTATAAAGGGGGTGTCAGCTTCGGGAAGCAGACACCTCCTCGCTGGAACTCCGAGTTGATGCACTCAGCCAGGATGCGCTCGCGGGAAGCTGTAAGTAGTGTGTACTCAGTGAAGCGGCCTACTAGCCCCCTCTTTTCTCTGGTGTTTCGAGACCGTTCTTCTCTTCTTCTTTCTCCGCCTCATCGGGGAGCGGTGGATTCCTCGTGCCTAGAGCTCTTGGCACCCTCTTGATTCCGCGAGTCACGAGCACAGTGGGCGGTCTCTATCTCCTCATATTGGATGTATGCCTGAGCCTTATGGAGGAGCACGTCTAAGGTGCTGGGCCGTTCAATGTCGACTGCCTTGGTGAACACGGCGCGAGGTCACAGTCCTCGCTCGATCAAAAATATCTTCATGTCGTCTGAGGTGGATATCTGGAGAGCTTCTTAGGTTAACCTCTCTATGTAATCTCGGAGAGATTCGTCTTTTCCCTGGTTGATGGATTCCAGGGATGCTTCCATCTTCGGGTGGCGTCGGGAAGCGGTGAAGTGCCTAGAGAACTGCCTCCTCAGATCCTTCCAGGAGGTGATGAACTCGGGTGCGAGGTTCTTGTACCACGCCATAACACCCTTCCTTAGGGTAGTGGGGAAGAGCCTGCACTTGATGGCTACTCGGGTGTTTCGGTAGTTGAGCATCGCATCGATGCTTTTAATTTGGTCATGCGGGTCCGTTGTACCATCATATGTCGCCAAGGGCGTGGTTTTTTCCATCTCGACGGGAAAGGGAGTCTCCATGATGGTCCTAGACAGCGATGTGCGCTGGTCGTCCTCGTCGCTCCTGACAGGTGATCAAGATGGGGATTGGTCACCTCAGTCATTTATGCCCCGCCGAGGAGGACTTCTTGGCCGAAACTTTTCCTTCTCAACGTATCCGCCATCTTTATTCCTCTTATGAGTGGGGAAGTGTCTCTCCTTCCGGGGAGGGAATCGGTCGCGCTTCTGGGTGGCCACGGGCTAAGGTTGTTCCAAGCGAGGGGGATGCCCAGGCTTTCGGGGAGAAGGGCTCTGAGATTCATCGTGTCATGTCCTCTGCAGGGGAGGGGATGGACTGTAAGAAACGGGGCGACAATGTCTCCGCCGAAGAGAGTTTGATTGTCGCTCCTTCTCGAGTATCCCTATCCGCTCATTCTGTTTGAAAATCATCAGATTTGTCTGATTGATCGCCACAAATAGAACCGTCGTGGTCGCGTCAGCGTTAGGCGATACAAGGATTAACTAGTAGACAGTCGGGTTATCAAAGCATCGGGCGACGTTGAAGGTCGTGTCGTCCGAGGAGGGAGAGGCAGTGTGCCCGTCCTTGGGGTCACCCTCTTCGACGTGAACGGTCACGTTGGGGTCGTGACCGTCACCGTTGGTGAACGGAGTGAAGGTGGTTTCTGGAGCGTTGTCATCAATGCGTGGGCTGGCCATGATCAACAGAGGTTGTAAACTGCTTTGGTTCTTGGGTTTTTATAGGAGGAAGAACGGGAAAGCAAGAGTTCCCATAGACGGCGCCACTGATCTTACCAGATCAAAAAGTGATCAGCAAGTAGTACACGTCGTGAGCTCTTTCGTTCGCCGGTGGTGAAGAAGAGGAGAGGGTGTACTTGCAAGATACTTTGATGCCAAAGTAAGTTTCAGCAAGAGAGAAAGCAAGTACATAGAAAAGGTGTAGAGAATAGAATACCTGACCCTCTATTGAAAGAGGGCATTTATAATGTGCCTCCAGCGCATGGCCAACAGTTACTTTGCATTGGATTGGATCGCAAGATCCAATACGAGTAACTGCTTGGGCTTACGTGGCGTAGAAAAGATCAGCACGTGATATTCGCCTTGAATCACCTGCCTTGTGATATTCGGAAGGTGGATTGACCAGTTCTTTCAGAAGTGGATAATTTTCTGATGACGTATCCCCGTGTGGGGGGCACGTGGAGTATGTAGGGGAGACGTATGATAGCTCCCCGTGCGTGCAGGTGGGCTGGACCTCAGTTTGGCCCTCCTCAACAAGGACTTGGGTTGGGCCTTGCCCGGTGGTGGGCTAACCTTAAGTCCAATTTTTAATTAAATTTATATTGAATTGAAACTATTTTAATAATTAATTATATTTTTATTAAAGTGATTATTGTTAATTGAATTGAATCATAAATATGATTTAATTATGTGCAATTCATGAAACTAGAAAACCCTTAATTCTACCCTAAGGTTATATTTAATTTCTTATTTTTATTTATAAATTAATTATGTTTTTTTAAGTGGTATGAAATGTATCTTATACGATTGAGATCGAGGAGTACTAAACAATTTTATTGAAACATTATGGAAGCTATTTTATTCATTAAGAAAGATGCAAATTACATGTAAGATCATTCATTGTGATCCCTTTATTTCTATACTTTATAGCATTAACATGGGTAATTTTCTTAACCAAATGGCCTTTGGTTGTTGCAATCCAAGTTACTACCAGGGTCCACTCCCAATATTTGACAATACCTTTTATAAAAACCGACCCGATCATCGGCCTTAGAATTTTGGCCTTGGCCGCATTCAAGCCCTCCGTTAATTATGTTGGTGATCACGCCATATCCGGGGACCCGTCCTGCTGAGCTATCAGCAGCAGATGGAGTCCATCTTCCAGTAATCACATCATGGCTTGATGGCTTGTTTGCCTGTGGGGTCATCCAAAACCATATGGCTGTCTTGAATGATACAGTTGGGTTTGTAGACACTAAGTCAGGATTGTTTATTAAATCTTCATTAATTGCTTTACCTGCTTGACCATAATTGTAGTTGCTGTGAAAAAAAGTCAATATTGATCTTATTAGTCCATTAAACATTCATTAATTTTCATGGTCAAGTACTAACAAATGCTCATATCCTCCACTGAAATTAGAATTTAAATAGTCCGTGTTTCTTTTTGTGATAAAAAATTAAATTATGATTAATTTATACAGCGACGATCGCAATCAGCATCGCAACGTCTGTATCAAAAAAGCCTGTACGTGATGGTTTAAATCCTTGGTTTTTATGCAAACTTTTTAATAGGTGAATATTTAAAATCAGTAAAATAAAGATGAAGGTGAAAGAAGGTTACTGAGTGAGTTGAATTGGCCCTCTTCCATAGTATCTTTTACCAGCAGCACATGGCCAATCTTTAGACGTACAAAAGTCTCCCTGACTGTTTTGTTCGGACACAAAGCAATATCCCCACGCGTATGGACCGTCTGGTGCACTTGGCCATCCTCCTACATGCTCAATATTAATTTCACATCACATATATTTTAAGAAACAACTAGAAACTCGCACTCGCAACTGTGGAATTTCATGTTCAATAATATAAACGAGTAATGATAGTAAATTAGGAACGTACCTGTGGTTTCATGAGAAGTTTGAGCCAAGAAAGCAGCGAGTTCCTTCTTCTTTGTGTTATCATCACCAGTTGTACCAAAACCATTGAAAGATCTAGCAGCAGCAATAAAACCATCATAGGTATAAAATCCATGACCAGCACATCGTCCATCGTTTCTGTATTTAAGCATTTGATCAAACAGAGAAGAAGGAACAAGCCTTCCAACATCTCCACTACCACTACCAGTACTAGGTGTTGGTTTTGTCGGTGTTGGAGAAGATTTACATTGGCTTTGGCAACCATCTACGCAGTAAGGATCAGTGCTACCACAAAAGCCAAATTTGCTGCAGCATAACCCATTTGGGCATACAGCTCCACCAGCTTGGCTACCGCATTGCTCTGCTTTGGATCCAAGAAACAAAGGTAGTAAACATAGTATAAGGAAAGATAGTTTTGGAGCTCTTTTCATATTGGAAGAGTACTGAGTCGGTTTGGTGTGTGACATGAATGTGGGAACGTGTTTATTTATAGATGAGGTATCATAGGATTACTTGTTTTTTTTTTTTTTTTGTAGTTGTTTCAAAATTGGCTGCTTTTTGTACCCTTGACTTTAGTTTGCACAATGAAGCTCTGAGTGTTAAAATATCTAACTCTGTTACCTACAATTATATTTTAAAAAAATTAGTATATTACACTATTAAGAATATATTTTATTTGAAATTAAAATATTCCAAAAATATTTACATGGCAAAAATTAGATTAAAAATTTATGGTAGTATTTTCACGTTGGCCGTTCATCAATCACTCACATAATTTGACAACACATATAACATCACCATTATTGTGGTATTTTGGATCGTACTCTAGTCTTGACAGGGATAGTTTCATGTTTGGACAAAAGTTGTGTTTGTTGTAGTCGAAGTTTGTTCAAGTATGCAGAAGTCGAAGATGTGTGTGTTGTAGTCGAAGCATATTTATTGTTCCTAGTAGATTTGTCATTTGGATTGGCTGCATTTTAGCAAAACAACAACTTGGAGAAATGTCTAAGTATTTAAGATTGGTCTAGCTTGCTAAAGCTGTATGGAGCTGCATAAAAGACAAATGCTGGGCGCGACGCTCCAACATGTTGGTACAACATCGAGGCCTTTTGCAACAAGCACCCGAATGCTGTGTTTTTGAGGATGTTCTACAAAAGATTTATTAAAAAATTTATTGTTATTGATTTAACAATATGATTAGGTGATTTGTTTGACAGTTGGATGAAGATTAATTTGAATATTTAAATTTGAATTTAAATTAAAATAAATCATGTATTGTTGGAAATCTTCAAGAAGAGAATCAAATATCCAACAACTTCTGCATTTATTCTTGACGAAATAAAATATATTATCCAAGGGGAAAAGCCTAAAGTTAATTTGCTATATAAAGAGCTCAAACCTACATTGAAAAACAAGCATTCTCATCAAAGATCTTACAGTGTCAGGGTTTTGTCGCTACTGCGAAAAGAGGTGTCGGCAATGACAGAAGAGTCGCCACCGTTCGTTATATATCCCAAAAGAGGGAAAGGAAACGATCAGAGAAAACCTAACGAAAACGGGAAAAGACAAGTCATCGCAATCATGTCTCGGGTTCGGGAGTCGGTTACGCAAGGGGAAGGTATGAGCACCCCTCACGTCCGTCATACTCGACGGGATCCACACTTTGTTGTCTATCTAAAATGTGTATTTATCTATCTAGCTAAAGGTCTTAGGGACAAAAGAAAAGAAAAGAGACTCGGCAGAGCATCGCCGCTATGTGCCTACGTACTCTATCGTGCAATGGGAAAGTCAGAGTCAACATAGTTCGGCTAACTACGGGTGAAGGTGGAGAAGGTTGCTCGCAAAGACATCGCCGTCTTGTGCCTACGTATTCTCATCTGGTATGAGAAATCAGAGAAAACGTAGTTCGGGCTAGCAAGAACACCGGTTGGTTCAAAATGTTTTACCCGAGTAGGGTTAAAACTTAGTTCTAACAGTTAGGTGTATGCAGCTCGACCATTGGAGACTTAGGCGTTACCTATTTGCAGTAGAACCAAGAGTTAACAAAACTCTCCTTATGAAAATGTTTTCCATGATTAGGATCCCGAAGGATAAAAATGTTTGAAGTTGTTTTTGTGTTTTTTAGAGAAGAAGTGTTTTGAGTTTGATTTGTAACTCATGTTGCACTAAAGACTATGACTTAGAAGCGAATGCGTTGCATATCACCCTAAGGGTGTACACTAAACACTCTAGGAAATTGAGAGAAAGCCACTCAATCACCATTTCTCAAGTACTTAAGGCTCGTAACGCACAACATTCATTAGCCTTTATTAAGTGTTTTGAAATTGTTTAAAGATGAGAAAAGAAAGGACACACTATAGGGAGACTAACTCAAGCCTAAAAGTTATCATGCAAAGTGGACTTAGAGTTGGGATGAAAGGGAATGCTACCTAATGTTCTCATGCATAGGTTCAAGCCTAAGTTCTATCATAATCTCAAGAGATTAGAGGTTCAAAGGGAACATGGCAAAGAATAAAGAAGAAGAAAGAAGCATAAAATAATAAAGATGCAAGTATGCAAACACATAATGCACAATTAGAATGATAGTGAGGTAGGAACAAAGTGTGGGGCAGTAGCCTCCACAAGCACATCTCAACCTCAAGCATGCATATGAGAGATGCAAAAGAGAAAGAAGAAAGAATGCACAAAAAGAAAACACACAAGTGCACCAAAATGGGATGAAATGGGAGAATGAATCCTACAATCATTAACATCAAACAAAATGCCATAAAGGGAAAGCAAATGAAAGAAGATGGAACTAAAATGAAATGTGTGAATGGGAGGCAATATGAGGACAACAAGGAACTCATATGGGAAACTCAACCATAGGTCACACCACAAACAAACAAAGAAGCATCAAAAGGTCCTCAAGGATTCACCATTCAAGATATGCTTCAAGTACCTCCTATGGAGGGACTAAGCCATCTCAAATGGGATTCAAAATTCATTGGACAGAGGTGGGGATGAGAGAAGAGAATGCACAAAATAAACATCAAACACATCCAAGAGAAATGCGAGAAGAGGCAAGGAGAAAGACCAAAGTCTTAATCATAATCAACACTTGAAGTCCAAGTGGAAGGCCTAAAAGGAAATGCACAACTCAATAAGCAATGAACAAATTTTTGACCTAAAAATGATCATACAGCAAGCTCAACATGCCTACAATATGAATCAAGAATAGTTGAGAGCTCAATGGATCCACAAAGGTCATTTCCAAACCAAACTAGGTCATGCACTTGTATGAGCCTCCCCTAGAAGTAACTTGACTTGCAAGTTATCTCAAAAATAGGAAAAAGGTTCAAAAATAACCAAATAAAATGCAAGAAGTACATTAAGATGTTGGCAACCAGAGGCCAAAAGATTAAAACCAAAGTCATCTCAAATCATCATCAAAGAATTTGATTCACAAGGATGCACCAATTTGAGAGAGGGTTGTCGAGGGTCAATGAAAACAAGGTCAAAGTCAAACCAAAAGTGATGGTCCTAAAAAATCATTCAACTCATTGTTAAAATGAAATAACTTTCATTCATTGGATCAAAGGATTGGACCAAAAACAAATCAAGAACACAAAGTAATCAATTAATAACCCACTTAACACACTTCCAAATGATTAATTCTTTTTTAATTGAAAAATAATCCAAAAAATAAAATAAAAATTTCATAAAATCAAATGACATCTTAAAATGTCTGAAAAGTATTTTTGTGAATTTCTTCCATCATTGGAAGCATTTTAATTGGATTAATAACAAAACAGATAAAAAAAGGAGAAATGAAAATAAAAGAATAAAAGCCGTGGTGCAGATAGCAACATTTCTAGTTCATTTGGTTGGGCTGCACAGGGAGGGGGGTGCTAGCAGCAATGTGAGGCCCAATCCAAAACAAAGCTGAGCCAAGCATGAAACTCTGTGTTTCATTTAACGAGTTGGCAGTCAGCGTTTACGTGGCAAGTCAAAATGAAATCTACATAGTTAATCAGTACTAGTCAAATGGTCAGCGCACTGGTGTGGCCATCCACGTATGCAACCAGACAAAATAACCAGACACTGGAGCCACTGTGCTCCGGTCGTCTTCTCCGTTCGTCTCACAGGAGAAGCAGGTGCTAGACCTCACCAAAACACGTGAAATTTAGGTCTAAACTGATCCTCATGCAATGTAGATCATGAATCTAGTCTTCAATTTCAATTATCACTTAAGAACAGAGAGAATTGAAGCAAACAAGAAACGAGCACAAAACATAAATCAGCAAAAACATGATCCTAACCTATCCAGATTTTGCCTACGTAAGTAGGAATTCGGTATGCAACAACAATGGCACCAAACGAATGCGTATTAAGAGAGAATTTCAGATCTGAAGCTTACCTAACGGAGCCTCTCCGATGGAGCTTCTAATGGTGCTTAAGCTTGCTGAAATGACCCAGAAACGTTCAATGAACTTCAAGGAAGGTGACTGTGGCTTTGAATTGCTTTGAATTTGCTTGAATCTGAGATTCACGATTTCACTTTTCACTTGAATGCTCCAACTGTGTTCTTGCTCTCCTTGCACGAAATTCACTGAATGAATGCTCAAAATCGATCTGAACCTTTTATATGATGGGTTAGGAATAGTTTGGAGGCCCAATTGTGGCTGATTTGCTTGAAATTCAAAAATGCCCAAATTTGAATTTCATGCTTCATGCACACGTGAAACAACTCAAATTCTCTTTGTTTTTGATTCAAAATCACTACTGGGAGTTCAAACTGATCATGTGGACTGAAATCATCCCTTGAATTAATCCAATGGTTGGTATTTGATTGTGAAACTTCACCATGAAGTTACTTGAAATGGCATGTGTGTTTGCTTGCATGACTCTAAATAAAATTTTGCATTCTCCTTGGTGTGATAAAGGGACTCAAAATATGCACAAACATGACTTGAAAATGAATTAAAATCAATCTAATTTAATTCATTCCTTTAAAGTGCTTTTTCATGATTTTTCCTTCACCAATCTCCAAACCCTAGCCAAATCCATGACAAATGAGTGTTCTAAGATGAAATTGGGATCATTAGAATCAACTTTCATGTTGGAAAACGTTTCATTTGAAGTGCACAAATGGATGAACAAGACCTATAATGAAAATGACCTATAATCTCACTTTCCCAAAATACCCCTGCCTTGCCAGCTTCATAACTTGAGTTCTACAAATCAGATGAATGACTTCTATAACTTTTTGGAAAGCTAAGATCATGAGAAACAACTTTTATGTTTGGGTCAAAGTGAGATGAAACATGGATCTAGGTAAAAAATGCCTTGGAAGTTGGTTAACTTTTGTTGACTGAAAACACATTCATTTGAGGACCCATAACTTGTCAGCATCATAACTTGAGTTCTAGAAATCAGATGGATGAGTTCT